AGCAGATTAACAAATGGTTCACAGTATGTGGAGGGAGTTGTTTTGCTCTATAAAGAGCATTTGTGAACTGATAAAAAACTGCCTCACAGGGAGATAAATGCCTTTTCCAAAGAAGTCCTGCTTCCTCACCACCCAACTATGAGGCCTAACCTGGGGTTTTCTTGAGTGCTTCTGTACCTCTTATTCTTTGAGAAGAAGAAAAGCTTCTGTACTAACTTTTTTCCATCTCTATATTGAGCCTCATATGCCCTATAATCTTGATTCTCCTAATTTTAACCAGCTTGGTCAACTGTAGAAGGGGTCTAAAGAGCAGGCTAAAAGGATAGGATCAAGTAGGTATGTTTTTTAAAGAAAACCATATGTTGTTTAAGTTAATATAGTTAATGAATTGTGGCAGAGAAGTATCAGTGCTATATACCATGCTGAAAAACAACCCTGTGGCCTTACAGTGCAACACATAAGTTATGAGACAAGATGCTAATTCCTTTTAGTTCTCAGGAGAGTACAGTTTAATTAGATGTTGTACTTCTGTTGGATAACCTGTGATGGGACAAGCTTGGTGACTCCTCACATAATTAAACACACAGCGATAACAAAACACATAACCAGAGGTGGCAAGAACAGTATCATTCACCCGGGTTTTACGGCACAGAGGGCACACAGTCTTCATTTTGGGTAATAGGGGAGAGTCAGAGTTGTAGTCTAGGTGTACAGGTGGTGGTGGGGTAGGCAGTGCAGTTAGTGATTTGATGGTTTCTTGATTTTCAGATGAGTACCACCAATCAAGGAACTGCAGGAAGAATACGCCAACAGAAAGGCCACTTGAGAGGGATAAGGCAACACCCCCCACAGCTTTCTTCAGAACTGACTTTATCTTCTCACTAACACTGTTAGGAAGAGAACAAGGAGGCAAAGAGAAAAATTGTTTATCTAGTTATAATCATAGAATGACCAAAATATAAATGCAGTTCTGCACTTTTCATCAAAATCTCTGATTTGGGAATTGACTTGTTGCTAGACGGGCATCCTTTCTTCTTAAGGATCTATTCTAAATGATTTCCTCTTTCTGACTCACAGTATGGACTGAACTTTTTTTAATAATAAAAAGTTAAAGTTTTGGGGTTGGGGCTATAGCTCAGCGCTTGCCTCGCACATCAAGGCACTGGGTTCAATCCTCAGTACCATATAAAAATAAATTAGTAAACAAAGATATTGCATCCATCTACAACTAAAATAATATTTAAAAAGAAAAAGTTAAAGTTTTATGTTTTAAGAAAGAAATTAGTAGAAAATTTGATTATGCAGACTTTAGTTGAAGATAGTACATCCAGAAAAAAATAATTTGGGCTGGGGTGGTAGAGCACATGCCTAGCATGTGTGAGGCATTGAGTTCAATCCCCAGTACCACATAAAAATAAATAAGATGTATTGTGTCTACCTACAATAAAAAATATTTTTTTTTTAAAAAAAGAAAAAAACAATTCTTTTACAAAAATATCTTAGCATCATTTTATTATACACATACACACAAAGGAACTTGTAGGAGAACACAAGCACTAGCTAGAAGTGATACAATACGATTTAGAATTGTATTGCTTTGTCTTGAATCTCAACTCTACCATCTTCTAGTTTTGCAGTCCTCACCAAGGAGTAAAGGTTTGGTTTCCTCAACTGTTCAATGGAGCAACTGCATTTACTTCATTGGGTTGTGATCAGGCTTAAAAGTGGATGTACGGGGGCGGGGGGCATGGTGGGGCATTGGGTTCAATCCCTAGCACCACATAAAGGTACAATGAGGATATTGTGTCCATCTAAAAAAAAGAGTGTTCATAAAGCAAACACCTAGTCTGGGACCTAGCATTAAAATGTAATTAGTATGATAGTGCTACCAAGATGGCAGTCCTTGTTTTATGGACACAAGGAATAACTTTTCTATGATTTTATAAAACAAAAATAGACTGAGGGAGGTAAATTTCATAAAAGTGGAATAAGATTTTAGAATTTTTTAAAAGATGTTTTGGGAGTGTTAAGGCCTTACCTCCTGGCTGGTTGCTGCATCCTGCCAAATTCAGCTGGTCTGTGCTCCAGAGCTTGTATATCCTGAATTGTCAGTCGACCCAGCCGAACTCCAGCCAGCTTCAGCAGGGGTGAGTGGTGCTGAGCTTTTCCTAGGATGTATTGAAGTTGTTGTACAAGAAACCAACCTTCCCAGGCCATATTAACAAATGGATAGGCTGCCAGAAAGGCTCTGTAAAATCGTTTCCAGTGGGAAGAAGGAGGATGAATGGAATATTCATCCTCTTCTCTCAGGCTGGAGACCAGCTTCTCCAGCTTCACTTTCAGATAGGGAAGAAGAACCAGGAACATAACTGATTTCCAAAGCTGCTTCTTGGGGAGACCCGCGCTGGCCAGTCTCTGCAACCTGGGAGAGTCCCCCATTACAACCCGCTTTAAGCCATAAAAGTTCTCAGAAAATGAGGCACTGGTTTTAGACAAATAGTGCTGCTGGAGCAGAAAATCTAGCAGAGTAAAGATTTCATCAAACCACCTCCAAAAGAAGCCACATTGGGCAGGATTGGATTCTGCAAGAACCTAAAGCAAAAGAAATCAAATGAAATTGTAGTACACTGCTACTATACCATGAATTTACATTTCCTCCTCCCCTTTAAATTCTATTTGGCTTAAACAAGTCAACTCCTTTTGGGGTCTAACAATGTCCCTCAAGTGCTAGGTACTGAGTATGGGACTCAATACTGATGGACTAAATATCCATTAGGCCATGAGAAATCAATTATAAACAAATTACTTATTTCAAACCCTAGGCTGTCAAACAATAGTTTGGTATTTTTACCCAATCGTTCCTGACACCTTTCAGAATACCTTACCTTGACCACATGCTGCAGAGCAGGTCTCACGGCTGTCATTAAACTGTCCTGGGCTACCACCTCAAAGATGGATGGCTGGTCATCAGCCACAGAAGCAGTTGTAATGTGCGCTCCGTGCTCAGCCATAGTGTTCTGTGTATATTGGGTTTCACTTTTCCCACAAACTCCCTAGTAAGCATGAACTTTTAAAGAAAGTTTTTATCCGATGGGAGCTGCATGACATCCGGGACTTCAGATTTGTTTTACTGGGAGATTCAACTGAGAGGAAAAGATCTCTTCTGCAGGGGAAGAGTGGACAGATGTCAAAGTGAGGTTAAGAAGAAAGTTAACTTCCGCGAGCTGTGAAGTGATATGTGGGTAGGGGGCACCTGTCAAATGCTGCACTTTACAGGGCAGAGCGAGACTAGGGACGGGTATGGGCTAAGGAGCGCTGGCCTCTCGACCTGCAGTCCTGGAGCTGCGAATCAGCGCCCCTGTGAGGGCTGAAAACCCAGCCAGCTCTGAGGGATCACAGGTGCCACAGCGAGGGCCCGGGACGCAAGGACGGCTCCAGCTGTTGGCTACAAAGTACCCCTGTCGGCGCTCGTCCTTGCTTGCTGACCCCAGGCGAGGCGCAAAGTGCCCACGACGCCACGTTAGAAAGAACGTCTCAGCTTTGCTTTATGACAGAAGCCGCACCCGGAAACAGAAGCCGCAAGGACCCCAGGGACGGCCGGCGGAAGAAAGGCGCTCTAGTCCTGAACGCAGCACTGAAACCGGAACAAGGGTACTCTATGACCTACACCGGGACTTCCGCTTCCGTCTCCTCTTATTTAGGAGGTAATAAGGAGCTTGGTTTTGCAGATGGATTTTCCGCTTTTTGTTTTTTGCTCCCTTAGAAGGCTCTGCCGCTGTGGGAAGCCACCCTTCCGACCCTCTCTGCGCAGGTCTTTCTGACATAGTGTGGCGCCGGGGGGTGGAGCTCCGGCCGCCGCTGCCGAGGCCTGTTTTCCCTGGGGCCAGCGAACCCGGAGGGTAGGGAGAAAGGGAATCTGGAGGTGAGAGGACACTTTTCTTACACACGTGGCGGGGCTGGTGCTTAATTTATCTTCTGCCGCCTTCGGGAAAGGACTTAAAGCGACCTGGCAGAGAGAGAAGTTCTGGCTTTTTTGCATCCGATTACAAAGAAGGATTACTGGAATGAGAAAGGCCCTCTTGTTCGTCAGAACTTGAGACAATTACTTTTCATCCAAGCTTGACTGTCTCCTAGATGTTACATTTAGTTACATTTCTAGGCACTTTTTATATTAGATGAGAATGGTTTCCTGCCTTCGTACCGGGTAAGAAGTGTATGAATACAGTGCTAAAGCAGAGGGATTCTGATGAATTCTAGGATGAACTGGGGCACTTTGACACAGGAGGTGCTTGGAGCTTTTCATTTTGTAAAACGAAACTAATGTAAAATATGTAGGCTTTGCAAAGTACAAATTGTATACAACTTTGCCACCTTTGAGTCTGATTCGGTTTTATTGGACTTGGATTTAAGAGTTCAACTCCTCCCTTATTATCCCTTCCCTATCTCAGAACTAAAGAGCTAATAATGAGAAGGTATTATTCACTGTGCTAGAGGTAGACGCACACTTAGAACCCTCAAAAAACAAAGTTTGGGTTTAGTTTTGTTTCAATCTTAAAAGTTACCTTTAATTATGGTTCTAAAATGTTTTTTACTCCACTAAAATAACTGAGAAAGTCTAGTTGATGTGAGATTTTATTTTTTATATTTATTTTTTTAATTCTCCGCGGACACAACATCTTTGTTTGTATGTGGTGCTGAGGATCCATCCTGGGCCCCACGCATACAAGGGGAGTGCGCTACCACTTGAGCCACATCCCCAGCCCATGTGAGATTTTTTTTTAAGGACTAGAAACAACGTTTCTACATTAAGCATCTCGTACATAATAGGTGCTTGACCATTCATAACATCAAAAATACAAAGTTCTTAACATCCAAAATACAAAGTTGAAGGCTGGAGATATAGTTCAATTTGTAGAGTGCTTGCCCTGTATACACAAAGCCCTGGGTTCAATTCCCCAGCACCACATACACACATAAGAAAGTTGAGAAATAACATTAACTAATAAATGAATGGGAAATTAACATTGTATCAACCAGAATTCTTTTGATTGGAAACAATAGAAACAGAAACAAACAGACCAATTTAAAAATAATTATTTGAAGTATATGAAGTACCTAACAAACCAGCCCACAAAGGACAGGAACTTCACAATCCTATTGGATTTTTTTTTTTTTTTTAATGTGCTGCTGAGGACCAAACCCAGGGTCTCGCACATGGGAGACAGTGGTCTACTGCTGATCCCCAGCCCCAACCCCCTATTGGGTTTTTCTAGCAGGATTTAGCAAAGTCTCATCCAGGCAACATTATTGCAGTCAGCAATCTTCAGTTTCTGTATATTTGTCATTGTGCTCAAAATTCAAATACCAATTGTCTAATCTTGGCTCAGGTTCCCCTTCCACTTTCTATTTCATTCTTAGATGGGAAAGAAGACATCTTGATGAATAATCCCATGAAGATATTCCAAAAGTAAAGTGAAGTTATTACATGAGAAAGGAAAGGCTGTTTAAAAAAAAAAATCAGTTCTTAATAGTCAACAAATAAATACCTCATAAAAAAGTCCCACCCTCAAATGTATAGTACAATGGAAAAGGTGATTATATGTATTGTACAGTACAGTAAGAAGTGACTGTACTTTATATTAAAAGGCATTAAAAGAAATCACATAGGTTAATAGAAGTACCAGCTGGAAGAGATAAGGCTGTTCAAACTAGCTTAAACAGAAGCCAAGTATATTGATCCATGCAAACAAATAATGGGAAGATCAGTGTTTTAACTTCGTGTTTAATCTCAGCTTCTCTCTGCCAGTTGCTTTTTAATATAGTGACATAACCTGGTACTGCTGCACTCACATGCCATAACAGATGTCCACTAAAGTTTTGTGGATTAGGTGGACCTCAAAAGATTAGTACATTTGGGGCAAGTCACAGTAGTGGTAAAGGGCTTTCCAGGTTAAGGGAGAAATGTAGAGTATATGTAAGGAGAAAGTGGTTTCATTTGTTTAACCATAGGGCAACAAAAATAATGGAGGCTATGTTGAAAAGTAGATTTAGGTGGATTATAGAAGGCCTTAATTGCTGATTTTAGAATTTATTCAAGAAATACTGAGAGTTTTTTTTTTAAAGGGGGTTACTAGAGAGTGAACCTAGAGGTGCTCTACTAACAAACTACATCCCCAGCCTTTTTTTCTTTTCAAATATATATTTTTAATTTTTAGCTGTAGATGGGCAATACCTTTATTTATCTTTATGTGGTGCTGAATCTTGAACCCAGTACTTCATACATGCAAGGCAAGTGCTCTATCACTGAGCCACAATCCCAGCCCCCCTTTTATTTTTTATTTTGGAAAAGGGTCTCACAAGTTGCTTAGGGTTGCTAAGGCTAACCTCGAACTTGAGATCCTCCTGCTCAGCCTCCTGATTACTGGGATTACAGGCATATGCAACCACGCCTGGCAAAAAATGCCGAGTACTTGCTATGTGTCAGGCATTATCCTACGTAATGAGTGTCAAGCAGTAATAAAAATAGACATGATATTTGCCTTCATGGAATTTACAGTCTAGTAGGAAAAGAGAATAAATATGCAATTTACAAATTGAATAAGAGAGCTAGAATTAGGGTGGCAGTGAGTGTTGAGAGAGGAGAACCTTTTAGATTGGGTAATCAGAGAATGCTTTTCTGAAGCAACTAAACAGAGACTTAAATTATGAGAAGCTAGTCATGTGAGAGGTTGGGGGAAAGAATATTAGACATTAGAAGCAATATTTGTTAATGGCCTAAGGTGGGAAACTGCTTGGTGTGTTTGAGGGCTAATAGAGCTAGCAAAAGGTGAAATGAGTGACTGAAAGGCATAAAATAATGTTAGATAGACATTGAGCTAAACTGCCCAAGACTCACAGGCCATAGGAAGGAACCTGAATTTTAGTCTTAAGTACAAAAGGAATGCATTAAAGGGTTTATACACCAGAGGCATGATCAGCTTTACATTTTTAAAAAAAGAATTTAACCTTTATTTATTTGTTTTTTTTTTTTTAATGTGGTGCTGAGTATCTAACTCACTGCCTCACCCATGATAGGCAAGCACTCTACCACTGAGCCACAATTCTAGCCCAGATTTACATTTTTTGAAAGATGATCTGATGGTTGTGTAGGTGTATTTACTGCATACATCAAACTTTACTTGATGAGAGAGAAAAGAAAGAAAATAACAGTTTAATGATTGGCTGCAAACAACAGTGCCCTCTTGTTGATTTAATATTTCTCACTCTCTTTGAATGTGTGTTAGACTTTTTTTCCCTTAAACATTAAAAATCTTGTTGCTATATGGAGAATGGTCAGGAAAATTAGGAGGTTTTTGTAATCCCAGCAGGGCCAACGGTGGCTTGGACCAATGAGATAGAATAGAGTGGACTGGGTGGATTTGAGATATATTTCGAAGATAGAATTGATAACTTGGAGATGAATTGGATGTAGCAGTTGAGGAAGGGAGAGAGAAAAATCAGGAATGACCCTTAGGTTTCTGGCTTGAGCAATTCAGTGCAATTTACTGAAATATCACAATCACAGCAAGTCTTTACATAGTCCATATTATGTGCCAGGCTTAGTTATAAGAACTTTACATATAACAATTCATTTCATTGTTCAATATTATCATGATATTATGATCAGATATTTATATTTTCCTTAGTTTACAGATGAGAAAACCAAAGAACACAGAGATGGGAAAACTGGGGCAAGAAAAGGTTTTGAGCATGCAAGGTAATGAGGAGCCATTGGAAGTTTTGAAAGATATGAATCAATTTTTTTTGGTAACATCTTTATGACGTACCTGGAGCCAGATTTTTCTAATGTCCTTTATCCCTATATGATTTGCTTAATTTTAATGGGCCATAAATTTAGAATTACCTGTGAGTGGTTACTGACTGTCAATGAAATTTGGGGAATAGGTCAAGGCTAGTGATAAAGATCTTAAAGTCATAGATGCATGATGTTGCTAAATAGTTAAAGTAGAGAAAAGGTATTGAGTATAGAATTAAACTTTAAGAAAAAAAAAACAGAGCTGGGGTTGTGGCTCAGTGGTAGAGCTCTTGCCTAGCATGTATGTGGCGCTGGCTTTGATTCTCAGCACCACATAAAATAAAGATATTGTGTCCATCTATAGCTAAAAGTATTTAAAACAAAAAAAAAACAAACCCTGTCACCTCTCTCCCTCAAATGCCATCTTATATTTCTTTTCAGTCTTACTTGAAACTCCTGTTTCTATTTCCTCACCTCCAATTCTTCCTCAGACTTCTGCAGCATGGCTTTGGCCTTCATATTTCTACTTGATATCTTCAGCAGTGACACCAGACAACTCAGTATTGCTAAATTCTGCAAACACTTTTTAGCCCTTCCCTTTCCTCTCTAGCAACTGTTTTTGTTGATCACTTATTTATACATTTATTTATTCAACATATATTGCTGTTGGTGGGGGGATATGTATGTTAGGCTTCAGAGATATGAAGAGATTGAGTAATCTCTAATCTCATGGAACTCTTAAAAACATCCCAAAGCATCATAGCTTCCTGCTT